CAGAACAACTCGACAAATCAACACAACAATATGAACATGTTGTGTGTGTCACTGACATGTAAAACAAGTTCTATCAACCAAACCCTACAACAAATCATTGCATGTTACTTTCTAATTATCGTGTTGTTGGGGCGGTGTGTAAACCTAATTGACATGCACGGATTAACGGAGACAAACCCGACGACTAAATCGCACACTAGACCATGATTCTGACACAATGGCTACCCACTCTACACTAATGAAACCTACATTTACGGTACAAAGACTTCTTTTTTTTCCTTTTTAAATTTGGGTTAATTTTTCACTAAATAAGCAATGAATGGCTTTCAGCCGACTGCATGGTAAATGTGTCAGTCTTTGTGATCATTCAATGAAAATGCACAGATTTGCTTTTTATTGCAGTTTACCATGAAAATACATTTGTGAGACTCCTTACACTGCCTTATAATCATTACCAGCCAACTCTATCTAAAACTATAATATATCACTTCCAGACTCTCTTTTTTAAAATTATTGTTTCATTATTTATATTCCCTTTTCATTTTGTGAATTTTTGTTAGTTATCTCCCTTGCTGAGGAGTTCTTCATTCTTAATATAATGTAATTTTTATCAATAAAAAGCCCTCCTATAACAGTTCATTGGAAGTATCAACAAAAGCAGTTTTATTGTCCTGAAATAAGTCCACAGTATATTTTCATTGTCCTGAAATAAGTCCACAGTATAGTTTCATTGTCCTGAAATAAGTCCACAGTATAGTTTCATTGTCCTGAAATAAGTCCACAGTATAGTTTCATTGTCCTGAAATAAGTCCACAGTATAGTTTCATTGTCCTGAAATAAGTCCACAGTATAGTTTCATTGTCCTGAAATAAGTCCACAGTATAGTTTCATTGTCCTGAAATAAGTCCACAGTATAGTTTCATTGTCCTGAAATAAGTCCACAGTATAGTTTCATTGTCCTGAAATAAGCCCACAGTATACTTTCATTGTCCTGAAATAAGTCCACAGTATAGTTTCATTGTCCTGGAATAAGCCCACAGTATAGTTTCATTGTCCTGAAATAAGTCCACAGTATAGTTTCATTGTCCTGAAATAAGTCATCAGTATAGTTTCATAAAATAGTACATATAGTACACCAGAGATTATAGCAGTCAGCTGGAATATTTCAGAGTTGATACAGAATTGTATGAATACATATATCAAAGAATAAAAATGATTTGTTTCACATATTTTTAAACCTGTGACAGACAAACACAAAGTCTAAAAGGTCAATGCAAGTTATCAATTATTTTTCATCAATTTCAAAGTGACAGAATTCTGAATTATAATAACAAGAAAAGAGAATCCATCTCAGGCTGCACCAGGAAGATTTGACCTTTAGAATCAAAGAAATGCTCTATTCTAGATTTTTTTAAAAGTTTAATTGCATTCTGACATAATATATCTGAACAGGTTAAAATTCTTAATAATTTAAAGTACTGTGAAATTTCCTAAATTTTGAATTAAAAAATGAGTTAATACAATGCCCTTGATTATGTTATAATGAAATTACTTCAAATAGATATAAGCAATGTTTTGTCTTACAAACATCTTGAATATTTGCTTTCAAAACACATTGTTTATCAACAGTAGAAAAAATGGCAGGGCCCAATAAGAAAAATCTGGAACATTCTTGACCTGAAGCCAATGCCCTGAGAACGAGATCTCCCCTTTCATGTAATTGTAGGATGAAAAGGGCGAGAAATCAAAGAATATGAAGTCTAATTAACTGGTAGGTCGGAGGAAAAGAAAAAGGCAACTAAATAAATCGGCCCACTAAATTAATATCCTTTTGGTGATAAAGATATGTTAGACGTTGCTACTGACAACAAGTCCTACTTTTGGGTACTAGGGGTGTTGTAACAGTCCCTGGGATTGGACAACCAAACTCCTTGGTACTAGGGGTGTTGTACCAGTCACTGGGATTGGACAGCACAACTCCTTGGTACTAGGGTTGTTGTACCAGTCCCTGGGATTGGATAGCCCAACTCCTTGGTACTAGAGGTGTTGTACCAGTCCCTGGGATTGGACAGCCCAACTCCTTGGTACTAGGGGTGTTGTACCAGTCACTGGGATTGGACAGCACAACTCCTTGGTACTAGGGATGTTGTAACAGTCCCTGGGATTGGACAGCCCAACTCCTTGGTACTAGAGGTGTTGTAACAGTCCCTGGGATTGGACAGTCACGCTTCTAGGCATTAGGGCCAGTGTACTGCTCCCTTGAAAGGGGAAAGGTTTACCTTTGGTGACTATGGTTGTTGTACTGCAGTTATGGAGGGGACAGCCCCACTTTTGTATCCTTGGGCTGCTGTGCCTGGGAAAGGACCCCTTCTTGGGAGTTCAACAATACAGATTAGCCATTGCTGAGGACCAACACAAAGATATCATTATATACAGGTGTTCTGATACATAGGTTAAAGTGCTTCAATATTGAATGTTGTACAGAAGAATTTGGGAAGCCTTTCTAATCTTTAGCTCAATGAAGTTTGTCAGTCTATGACAGTGATAAGTGTAGGGAAGTGTCAGTTCTAACAACTTGTATGAAAACAGCCCCTTCCTACCATTTCACCTAAAATTCTCAGAGATCTACCCCGTCCCTGATACACAAACAGATGTTCCCTCCTACCAATTTACCCAAACTTCAAATATAGACAACTTTCCTTCCCCTCTCAGTATTCAATACACAAACAACCCCCTCCCACCAATTCCCTAGACATTTGCCTCCCCTCTCAGCCTAATACAATCCCCCTTCCTCCCTGCCGAGATAGTGGCCAGGGTCAGAATAGAGAACATCCAGACATCTGACACCAGTATAGGTCACTGACTATCATCTCCTGGTTACTAATGGGGGCAGGGATGTGGAGGGGGTAACATGGGGAGGGGACATGGAGGGGGTAAAGTGGGGGAGGGGATGTGGAGGGGGTAAAATGGATTTGTGGGATTTGTGTTGTAGGAATGAGGAAAGGGGTATATGATGGAGGGAAAAGGCTAAGGTGACAGAGAAAAACAGAAAGAAAATTTGATGGTCAGAAAGAGAATTTCCTTTTTACAATAAATGTCTAATAACAATTAAAAAAAGCATTTAATTGTTAAAATGTATAATTCTATTGATTTTAAGTATTGATAGATTCTGTTAGAAATTTTTTGCTAAAATGATTAATATATAAAACACATTTTATATTCTTTTTAGTTTTTCTTTATAAGCAGGATTTCAAATTTCTTATATTTTGTTGTTGTTTGCATTTAGACTGTATAAATAAGAAATAACATCGAAACTTTTTAATCAAAACATCACAATGTTCCTTGGAAAAAAAAAATGTTAAGAAAATAAAATTCTACCATTGATATGTTTTAGCTTTTTATATCAACTACATCAATATCTTAAACCCAGAAACAGATCTTAATTGATTATCTGTAAATTTAACCCATTAATATATTATAATTGATTACCTGTAAATTGAACCCATTAATGAATTTTAATTGATTATCTGTAAATTTAACCCATTAATATATTATAATTGATTACCTGTAAATTGAACCCATTAATGAATTTTAATTGATTATCTGTAAATTTAACCCATTAATATATTATAATTGATTACCTGTAAATTGAACCCAGTAATATATCTTAATTGATTACCTGTTAATTAAACCCACTCATATATTTTAATTAATTACCTGTAAATTGAATCCATATTTTAATTGATTACCTGTAAATTTAACCTATTAATACATTTTAATTGATTACCCAAAGACTGAACACATTAATCCATTCTGATTACCCATCACACATTAGAGAAAAATACTTTATGTTAATTTCAAAAAGATTTAGATAGAAAAGACAACAATATTGTGTCATCTGTCAGTCACTTTACATTAATGTAGTTTAGTAGGTCCTATCAATATAAGATAGACTAAAATCATAATGTTTTGTACTGATATGTCAAACTTGAAAACAATATATATATAATGTTAAGTCATATACATGTTTCATAAACTATTTTTTCATAAACATTTATTTGTTTGTATGGATTTTAAAAATTATATCATGTATAACATCAACTTTTTTATTTGATAATCATGATACTTTAATATCTGTATTATGTATATGGAAACAAAATGTGTTACCTTTAGTGTTTTAAAAATCTATATGTAGTTATTATCAATATTTCAAAAACTCTGAAAAATGTATCAATGAATTCACATATAAATATATCTGATTTGAAATTCAGTTTCTTTTGTAATCACTGACTGATGTCACTTTTTACTTGTGGAAACAGGAACAGAAAACAAATATTCTCTGGGAAGCTTCGTGGAGAAAGTTCTACATTTACAGCTGATAAGAAATTAAACTTTTATAGAGAAGTTAAGACAACATAAATGAAAGAGAATTCCCTCGAAACAGATCAATCAATTGTTGTCAACAATTTTTGATCATCTGAAGAAAATTGAAAAATCTAAGGAAGATAGGCAGCAGTGTACTATAGAATTAAGTGTAAACAAGTCAGAATAGGAAAACAATTAATGATAAAACTACATTATAAAAGTTTGAATAAGAAATCGTAAAATTAACTAGAAGATTTCCGATCAAATGGATGAATTAGATTATAAACAGCAAAGCTAGTAATTAATTATTATTTCAAAAAAAAAAGAAGATAAAAAAAAATCGAGGACAGACATTTTAAGAAATAAACAAATCGAGGACAGACATTTTAAGAAATAAACAAATCGAGGACAGACATTTTAAGAAATAAACAAAGTTCCTAAACAAATGATTATTAACTGGAAGTTCTAGTAAACATTTTTACAAAATCATTGAAAAATTAAAATAGACAAATTAACAAATATAAACTAATGATGTACTGATTGTGGACTGAACCAAGTATTTATATAGAGCTACATTGGTGCTGGGGGAACATCTCTGTGACCACTTCTTGTTGTTGTAATAACACATAGCTTACTCTGGATGTGAAGTGTGAAGTCAGCCAGCTTCATGACAGGAATCACTCTGACCCGTTAGATAGATCCCACAGTTTGGATATTCGAGTAAATATGACGACATTCATCATGTGTTTTGTAGCATTTCTAACATGACCTTGTTAGATAAGCATTTGCCATTGTTACAGGAAATCACACATGGAAGAGAACACAATATATTTACGAGTAATCTGTTGTGTGTAAACTCCCAAGTTTCTGTACAGTAGTGAAACACAAACTTTTACCAACTTATTTATATATATACATTTCCTTCCATAGCTTTCCTTACAAACTCACATGCAAACATGGAACACACAAAAAGTTCCTCTAGTTTTAAATCTCCATCGGTATTAACTCTCAGTATTCATTTGGTACATTACACATACGGTGTTGGTACTTTGTTTAGAAATCTGCCACAACAGAATGCAAAAAACTTTGTACAACTGTTGATGTTAACACATTGGAGCCCTCACAGTATATTCCAACAGGTTAGGTTTGATCTGATTCCGGCTAAATTCTCCATGTTGGATAAAAAACACTTTCTCACATTCTCACAACAAGCAGATAAGTTGATAATTCCCTAACAAACAACTATGACCGATGTATGCAAACATGGCTGCACATTGAATGAACGAAACACATGCGCACTCCTAGCCGGAACCTAGAGGAGAGAACAGCCACTCTCTGGGTTGGGGATGCTGGAATCTGAAGCTTACACTTGTATTCTTTGATACAAAGTGAGTATTGGGTCTCATGCTTCCACTCTGCTCAGCATCAGGAGATAAGCCTTCACTCCACAGCTGTGATCACTGGATCCGCCCCCTCCAGAAGACTGACAGGGTCTGTGTATTTAGTATTTATTGCCAAAACCAGAAGCTACTTTTGGGTATACATTATTACAGAGCCATTTTCCAAATTAAAATGTACCTTACTTATTTCAAATAAAAATTAATTTTGAAATTTTATCCCGTTTTTTAATTTTCATAGACCATTTAAAGTATTATTTCTATACTAATCTATTTTTCATCAAGATCATTTGCACTTTATATTGAATATTATCGCTACCAAATTGACATTTTTTCACACAAGACTATAATTACAGAGAGAATCTGGTAGCACATTATATAAGCAATTTATGTTTACCTTTTCAGATCAGACAAATTTCACTACAACAAGTTTTTGTCATTTTGCACCAGAACTTATGAAATGACATTTGATGACAAATACCATGGTTATAAAGAACATGAATGCATATGTAAATATGACAGGAATTTAGCTGTCACGATAACTTCATGTACTCTTATGTTTGTGGGCGTCATTACATAATAGCATCACCCCCTCACATGGTTCTATCATCTCTCATCATACTTTATAACATCTCTTGAATGGAGACCTCCTCCCTGTAATGTATCACAACAGTATGGTTCCTACATCGGGCTTACTGATTTGTTGTTTAGAAAATTTTGGTATTAGATGTTGATGGTGTAGTATGATGCTGAAACCATGATAACTTTAACTGTTTCTCTCTCTCTCTCTTCTCCCTCTCTCTCTTTCTCTGTCTCATCCTTCTCTTTCTCTCTCTCCTTCCTCTCTATTTCTCTGTCTCTCTTTCTCTCTCCCTTCTCCCTCTCTCTCTGTCTGTCTCATCCTTCTCTTTTTCCATCCTCTCTATTTCTCCGTCTCTCTTTCTCTCTCCTCCCTCTCTTTCTCTCCCAAATCAAAAACCAAATTAGAAAACTTAAATCTCCTCCAGAGGACATGAATTGCTCCTGATATAGCCCGATAATGTTCTCATTGCGTAGATAGTTCTCCAAATCCCAAAATCTAAATGAATGTACAAAAGCACCCAAACTTACACATACATCAACTTCTGCTATCAACTCCTTAAACAGATATGCTGGGATCATGTCCTCAGTGACCTCTCTGACCTCCACTTTAATCAAGATTTTAGAGATCTTGATGGTCATCTGAGGTATGTTTGACTTTTCCCCACTTCCCTTTACTCCCCCCTTTAAGCTCCCCCTCCATTTAGACTGATGTCCTAGAGGGGAGAGTTGCAAATTGGCTACATAGATCTTGTTACTAGGGCTAGATCAAACCAAAGACCTGAGCCTGTCAAAATATAAATATCCCCACATGGTGGAGTGAAGTCTCCAGCAAAACTTTGACTGTAGAAAACATACCCCAAGTCTGAAGCCTGTTGGGATTATGATATTAAAAAGCATATGGCCTCATGGGGTACAAGTAAGCACAACCGAAACCCAAGAAAGTTACAATTATGCAAATCAAGTATTTGGCATCTGTTACTATCCTTCCACACCTATGAAACAAAATGAACCTGTCCATTTTATGAAATTCCAAAGTTCATTTTGGTTTTGCAGGGTAGAAAGGAAAATATATTTGGGAAACATGTCCCGGAAATTTGTTCTAATTAGTGAACAGTCTGTTCAGGATTATCTGACACTTTTTATTGTGGAAATTAATTTAATTATGTAAAACAAAACCCGAGATAAGCAGGTGCGTGTTGGGTATATGTTGACATATCTGACCCACGAATCTGTGTTGTGTTGTATACACCACTCACTGTATTTAATTAGATTTCTTTTTATAAAAAATTTCTCTGTTTCCTTATTTATTGCTTCAATTTGATGGATTGTGTCTGAAAACACATCCTGTCATTCTATCTATAACAACAAAACATGGAAATTTAATTCAATAAATATTTAAATGAAATTTAAAATTAATACCATCAGTATTGTTGATGATTAATAAAACTTTTTAACATCTTGAAATGGAATTAAAAAGATTGATGCTAAATGACTGTAAAACAAGCAACTTTAAATTAGAAGACAAAAACACTACATACAGATAATAAAAAACAGATATGAGAAATATCTTCAGAGATATTTTAAAGTAATTTTTTGAGTAAGTTACTGGACCCTGATTGGCAGTATTGCAAGACAAATATTGCCAACAAAAGCGTTTACAATCCATCATTTACCGATGGAATAGAGGCAATCTGTGGAAACAACACAATCGTACCACTTCCCAACAACAGAAACTTTTTTCCTCGTTTTTCTGAGAACAAACAAACAAATGCAAAGTAACTTTGGTGCCTGCGAATGGCAATGCCATTATCTCATAATTCATCCACAGAAATGTGTGTACGTTTGCTATCGCTGACACCGGAGAGATTTTTGAGGAGATTTTTCGGCATATTTTGGTCTGGTGAAGAGATTTTCGCTCCGTTGTTCCTCCACTCAATCACCCGCCTCACCTGTCCCCTAATTTAAAATACATCTATTTTTCACACACAGGCAATTTCTCTTATTCTCAATTTTCATTTTTTGAAAATAAACGATTCCTTAGAAAATACTTTTAAAAACTATTTTGGATACCATTTCAGCCCCAAAATATTTCTGCATTTCACAAGAACCTCGCATATTTTTAATTGTCATTGTAACTTTCATATTTTTGTGTCTGAGATATTTCTGATGATCGGGATAGGCGAGAAGCAAATAAATACTCCGTGGAAACAGAGTGCGATCTCTTTTAGAATATCAACATGGACAGGGAAGTAAGTAATTATACTGAGTGGCATATGGAGGGATGAAACCAAACTGTCCCTTTATTCTTAATTTTTTAAACCTTAATAAGATAACACAGCTGGTAATGTTCTAAATGACTTTTAAAGATTCAAATTTTTTTTTATCAGTAAGCAATTTATTAAATTGCAACATGGATAAGACACAGCCGAAGAGTGTGTTTTGCACTTGCATACACAGAGGAATGGAGAGATCTTACATAAATGGGGCTCAAAGCACCATAAAATCTAACCCTTGGGCTATCCAACAGACAGTAAATGGTCTTGTTGGCATTTAACACTGTTTCTACACCAATCCTGAACTTAAATAGTGTGCGACTGATATGTCGTTAGGAAAGTTAAAAAACAAGACTGCTCAAAGTGCATTGGGTTTTCAAGTCATTATAACATCTTAATGTGCAGCATTGATGTACTCGGATACAAAAATTCTCTAGGACTGATATTTCAACATCCGCTAAGTATGACTTCTTGTTTAAACAACATATAAACAACATCTTAAAAGAGATCAACAAGCCTAAAATACACTTTTCGTGACTTCTCTCTCAAAGATATTGCATAATTGACGAATCAAAAGTAGTGTACGTTATTCACAAATCAAGAAAATCATAAAAACATATGAAACCAATCATGTAAGATTTTAAAACTGATACAAACTTGGAAATGAATAAATCACTGTCTCTTTAATGTTTGAAAGTGTCTGAATGCTATAATTATCATTTACAAGTGTTATTGAGAACATGATTTCAGAAATGATTCCTATGCAAAAATTTCTGCATATTTCATTTGAAGTGTTTTGAGCCATGCTTTGACTGCAATCATAGACAGTAATTTACCCATCAATAATTTCATAATTATGCTAAAACTAGAACATCTCTACAGTCACGCCCTACCTAACCACAGTTCATGTCAGCAGGATCTATGGATTTTTATAGAAATTTTCTTCATTACAGAAATTAAACAGCAAGCACTGTTGAATCTTCAAAAATATCACTGCTTTTTTTTGAGAAATTGAGACAAACTTTAGATTTTCTAAACATTAAAATTCAAATGTTTGAATGCTTGTAATTTACAACATTGCCGGATACGCCACTCAGAATATGGAAATAATTTGTTAAGAGTCTTCAAATCACTCAAGAAAAACAGGAAACTTAAAAAGTTAGCAGATTTCAAGGAGACTAAACAGATCAATACAGACGACTATATAGATCAATGAATGATATCTTTTGACAAATGTGTGAGAAATTTGAATCTAAGACACATGTTTGAACAAACTAAATGAATTTTATTTTATTAAGGAATTACAAATACTAAAAAAAGATAGTCTGGTTCTGTCACAGAGAGCGATAGAGTTAGGTCAGAGGGGAAGAACAAAGAAATACAAAAATCTGTTTAAGAAAATAAATATTTGTTGCTGCAATGCTAAACACATGTTTAAATGCAAAAAAAAAATCA